TCCCTACAAAGACTGCTCTGAAGTTTGAATTAACAGACACGGGCCTCACATGTAACTCATTATGTCTCCACATACGGCCAGCAAGCTTCTTAATTTCATGTCCGGTTTCTGAGACGGTGTTTCAACATATTTACAGACCAGGGGAAAAAAAAGTGTTTGTCTTGCCACACTTAACAGCTGTGTCTGATTGTCCTGATTTTTAGGCAGGCTGACTCTAGCTGGTCCCAGACTGTAGCAGAAAATAGAAAACCATTCAGACTGTCTCACTGGAGCAGGATGAATGAAAAAAAAAAAAAAACAGGTCAGGTACAAGGAAGGGTCAACATCTGGGATACTGAATGGAGCTGGAACTCATTTTTAAATGCATGTCCTACAAGAAGTCTCTGCTACAGCTTTGCCTTCTGTTATCTATGCATTATCTTAAAAAATGAAAGGGACAGAATGAGAAAGTGATGTATGTTATGGAGAACGGATGCAAGGAATTTATGGATCGTTAGATAGGTAATGCTCATACTAGGCTAGTGACATTGGTAATGTGATTCAACAGACAGGCATTCTGCTCAACTTATTCACACAAGCAGGCCTCACAGGTCTGGTTTTTGCAACAATGAATGACAATTCACATCAATTAAAAGTAAGTGTAAACACGCAAATTGCAATGGAAAAGTTTTTGCTCACTTTGCATCTTGTGCATCCATTTACACTTGTGCAAGGCACTAGAGAATCAGGCACATTGTTTTGGGTGGAAATAATTTTATGAATAAGATGGTCAGAGTACTTAATGCCCAATAGCTGCTGTTTCATACAGGAGCAGTTCCAACACAGTCACATTCTAAAACTGCCTCTAAAATTTCCCACTTCTTAAATGATTTCCTTTTCCAGGCAATTGTTGGGGGAATGGGTGAAGTGGGGAATATCTTTGTTGCAGCAGGAAGACTCCAAGAAACATATTTGGGACCTATGCTGTTGACACCAAGTCTGATACTGATGTTGGCAACTTCTATTACCAGCACCAATACTAGTAAGAGCTCAAAATTAGTAAAATAGATCCTTCCATCTTTATATCTTAGGGTCAAATTCTGGCTTTTGACATAAATGAGCACATGTCCAAAGACCTGTAGCACACAGACACTGCATAATGAAGTCTGGCCATTCTTTCCGACTTCTTTGGAAGGGCACAGACAACAACCTTTATCCTACAGAGAAACAGAAAATATGAGAAACGGTGTTTACTGATGGTGGTAGATGAGCAAAGCATTCAAGCTAGCTCTTCTGTGGGAAACAAAGACATAATACTCTGGTTTTGGGAGGACTTTGTGGAATTCTGACCTGAATCAGACAGTAGGACAAAGTAATATAGCTTAAAACAATACTGAAGCAATACATTCATGAATGGAAGAGGTTATTTCAGCTTGCACTCTGTAACGCCAAAAGAGCAAAGGCTTTGCTGACTTTTTTGTCCTTGCTGGGTATGTTAAGAGGGCTAAGGAGACCTTTGCGGATGCTGAAGCAGTCAGCTGAATGCTTGGGCAGCATGAAGTAATCCGAGTATGAAATGTGAAGCAATCTGAGCGTATGTGCAGTTAAAGAGGGCAGTGCCATCTCTCTATTTCAGGCCCTGACTGAGATGCGTTAGCTTTAGGAGTGTGTACCTTTGAATCAAAATTCAACAGTCATAAGATTCAAAACTGATTTAGTATAAACTCTGTGGATTAAAGCTTGAGTAAAAATGCTGATGGTTTAACTTTCACCTAGAAGGATTTTTGCTGGATCAAATATTTTCTGCCCTCAGTTTGTTAACGCAAACTTTCTATCATGTTTTGATAATTTGTAGCTTTTGTGCCTATATTTAATCCAAATCAACTCTATACTAGAAGGCAAACTAGTCTGGCAACAACACCAGTGTTCCAGGACCATTAAAACTATGTTTACTCCCTAACACCAGACATATTTTACTCTTCTGTGCAGAAATTTATAAAAGATAATTTTATTAGATTAATTTGTAAAGTGCCCTTAGGAAAGGTGCTTGTGATGCCATAGCATTATAGAAAAAATATACAATCTAATGTACTATTTTCAAAAAAACCTCCAGAGCAAAGAAGTGAAAATAGAAAAGGAGGGGAATAACAAATAAATAGGGAAACAGCGTAAGTCTAAAAATGGTCAAATTAATTACCAAACTCCTTAAAATTAGTCTTGGAGGGTTTGAAAAAAATGTGGGGAAAGTTAGCACAAATATCTTTGAAAAGATGCAGATTTTCTAAGTTCTCCCAAAGGAAATATGCAAACAGCAAACTCAGCGTTTTAAGATGAAATGATTATGAATTAATATGAGGGATTTTACTATGGAAATCAAAATAATACAACATACAAAGAAAAACCATGACCCACATTTCACTAAGAGGAAAGATAATAAAGCAGTTGCTATGTATATTGACCAAAGTTTGGTTCCTTCTTTTACAAACAAAACCATTTTCTCCTCCCTGTTGATCACAGATTTTATATATATACATACATGTGTATATATATTTCAGCATCTTACTAAATTTCAGAGTCTATTTCCTTTTTCTTTTCTTTTTACAAGACCTAAGAACACAACTGGGCACAGAATCAAATAATTGTGTGCATGCAAGCACATCTTGCCACTTGTGCATGTAAATTACACAATTTGTAAACAACTGAAATAGCATGCTCAAATTAGGCGTTTGATTGCCCAATCAGCTTGTTCAAAAAACAAAAAAAAAATGATATCCTTTAGTAGCTCCTATTATATATTTTACTGCCTAGCGGTACTTTACTGATTTCATAGTACATGTTCTAAACAACTGCTTACAGTTTGTGCTTTTACATGGGCATAAGCAGCAATGCACACTTAGTAAAGCTATCACTTGAACTTTGGACCAGATTTTAGAAAGCTGTTCAGATACTTAAAGTCCCCTTATTTCAGTGAGGATCAGGCAGCCTACACAGTTAAAAAAAAATCTGGTCTAATTTCAGATGGTATGAAAAAGAAATTCAGAAGATAGTGGGCCTGCATGCTTCTACTAATAGGCAAACTTTTGCTTGGGTGGTTTTTTTTGTGGGTGTCTTGTTTTGTTGAACAGGCAAGTATTGTTTAATGGTATACATTCATATCCTAGGAAATCCTCATATTATTTTTCCACTAAAATAACAATTAATTAATGGGAATTCCATATAAGTTGGGACAGAACACCAGCTTTCTCTGTTCGGGTGTATATTTTCTAATGGACAGACATACAAAGTACCCAAATCTATCCAAACACTGCCAGTATAAAAACTTTGCTAATTCAGATATCAAAATGCGTTCATAAATGGACTTTTACCATAAATACATTGCTCCTTTGCTGTTGTACTTCTCTTTCTGTGGAAAGGGGGTATTTTCTTTTCTCTAGCAAATTTTTTTTTTTTTTTTTTTACAAAATAAATGTTAGCAACTTTAATGGAAAAAAAAACCCCACTGAGCAAATCATCAGTTTAACAACAATCTCTCAAACAGGAGAAAAGGAAACAAGAGTGGAACTGCTGGGCTGGATCATGTCCCTGAATAGATATTACATATAATCCTAGTGGCTGCATTTACCAGTTCTTTACAGGGCTTCTGCAGCAACAGACGAGCTGGTCCAATGGTTAATCCTCCTTAGGAAAGGAGACAGTGGTAAGAAAAACTACTGGACCCCAATTATATTTTTTTGGGTTTCAATCAAGGATCAGTGGATTTCTTGCTCTCAACTTCTGTTGTGACAACATCTGCTGGTGACTTTCCATTGATGCTTTTCTTCCTCTAGAGGATCAAAATCCAATTTGGTACTTAAATTACTTTGTTCCACTCTATCGGTCTGCGTCTGGTTTAAAAATCTTCCAGGAACACTGCTTGTCCTTCTTGCAAATTCAGACTTTTCTCCTATAGACAAACAAACAAAAAATCCAACTCCTCCCCACATCCCCCTTCCAAAAATATAATATAACCATGATCACTCTTATTAGGAGAATTATTTAGCAGGCTCCAGTCTTGTTCAGCTTTTGTTGAGTAAACTGTAGCTTATATGACTCTGAAGTGTTTATTAGAAAGCTTTCAAAAAAAAAGATCTTCGTTCCAGGAAAAGAAAAATTGTTCAGTTTAGCCAATACAGACGTTCACAATACAGAGACTGAAACGGTTAAAAATGGTCCTAAGGAGCAAGTAGTTCATGGAGTTAGCAAAAAATTAACTTTTTCCTTTCTTTTACAGAAAAACACTAATAGCTGCTCTGGTTTCAATACTTAGTAAGACAGAATTTTGTTGCATGTTCTCGGTTTTGTTTTTTTATTATTTTTTTGCTCTATTGCTCCACACAGGTTTTGATTAGTGCTTCTCCTTGGCTACAAGTGCTTCACTTTGAAATACAAAGCTCTTCAAAAAAAAAAAAAACCATTAAAAAAACAACAAACACCACATCACTGGAGGGAAAATAGGAAGTGATACAGTGCAGCTGCAGCAATCTGGTTCTGCTGCTGTCCTCCCCCATCCCCAAATCCTCTGCATAATTCCAATCTTTAGTCGATGAACCTTTGGCAGGCCTTCTTCCACCGGCAGGCAGTACACCACATATCTCTGTTCTCCATCCCATAGACTTTTCGACATTTTTTCCCCTCCCCTCTAGGCTTCCTGTCAGAGAGAAAGGGAAGCTTGTTAACAAAACGTTTTTGCAGCTTTATCACCCTAAGATCAGGACAGCAGGCTAAATAGAGTGCAAAATGGAGGGAAGCCATTTCAAAGGGATTTTTGTTTGTTTTCAAGAAGCTGATGAAGCAAACGGACACATGGCTGTGATCCCACAGCTCTGAGGGATCAGTCCTTCTCCTTGCCCTGCTTCTGCAGGCTCTGCAGCAGCTGCTGGACCTGCTCCTAATAATATTCAACCCTTACTTCAACCAGTGGCTAAACCTTACGTAGATACAGCCTTACTTTAGCTACATCAGTTGCCAAGACAAAATGCATAATCACAACTATTCTGCAATGCAGTCCAAGTCGTGTCAGACAAAAGTTCTCTTTGCTTTAGAGCTGTGGTACAAATATTTTGCATGGCTCTCAGCAGAAAAACTATCTCCCTAAAAGAGGGGAAAAGCTACTAACTCTGAAGTTTGTAAGTCCTTACTGCATGGTTTGCTTTGAGCTTAGCTGTAAACAGACTGAGAAAAAAACCTAGGTGACTAGAAACAAGTTTTAACCCTTGCCCTCAGCTGCAACACATTCATGTGTGTTCCTTCTCTTTCAACTCAAGGTCAGGAAGGCAGGGAGTATTTGCTTTTAAAGCTATACTATTGTCATGTAGTCCTTCTAATAATAAGCTCACAAGAAAAGTTTAAAAAATGGTCACAGCAACTGTTTAAATGGTATTTTCCTATTCAACATGTAGCCAACCAGCAAACTTACTGAGGAGCAGAGCTGCAAGGAGTGACAAGTGGTCATAACAGTAGTACCAAAGTTAGTCCTGGCATCTTTAAATCAAGAGCACAGACAAAACTGTTTATTACCTGTATTAAATACTGCACAGCACAAAGAGGGATGGGAATGACCTGGTGATTACTGTTGCATACACAAGCATTTTTTGGTTACTGAACATTCATTAATGGACACAATCCACGAACTGGGAACATTCCAAGTTCAGACTGTAGCACAAGCAATGATCTAAGAGTGATGAAGAAACTGAAAAGTGTGAAATTTTCCTTTTGCTCTTTGTTCACCTTTTAGGGTACAGTCCCTTCAAGGACTGTGAGAGATTAAGAGTTTCTTTATGATAAGAAATTTAGCATTAAAGTTAGATTTTGGAACATAATTTTTTGAACACAGAATTTTTTTTAAAACAAACTCTAGTCAAACATTGGTTGTCTTTAATGGAACTGAATGTAGCCTATATCCAGGAAGACAAGGCACAAAGCTTTGCTTTTACCTAATTTATTGCAAGATATGTTTTTATAATTTAACTGCAGTCAAACACCACACTGACTTAATGGTAATAACCTAGCCTAGCCTCGAAGGGAGAAAAGCAAAGCCATATAACGAAGTTCAGGATGCTTCAAACCGGAATAGTGTATCCGAATAAGATCGGTTTACAGGGGAATTTAGATCTGCACTTGAACTCTAGATTTTTCTGGGGTTTTCCTTCATGGCCTGCCTCTTGTATTTCTCAACAACTCAGTTTTCCCCAGATCTTCAGCTTTGATGGTAATGAAAAGGCAAATAGGTCTAGAACGCTCATTCTGAAGAGTTCTAGTCAGAAAGTGCCTGACAACTGGAATCACACTTGGTGCTGTGGTCCTTCTGGTTTTCTGGCCATTGACATCTCATTTACTAAATAACCTCCAAGTTTTGAAGCTGTTGGTCTGTCAGCAGGAGCTAATGGTCCCATACCTCAAGCCAAATGCTACTCTAGGCGGTGATGAAAGAACTGTGTGGGACTGTTTCTGCTCTCCACTCCCTGCAGGACGATTATGAGTTGGTGAAACCTGTCAATACAGACAAAAAAGCTGCTTATGAAGTACACATATGTATGAATGCAATATAAACACACTTTTAATTCTTTGGCAATGAAGCTTCTGCTGGTTATCATAGATAAATAGAAATTTCCCCAGAAAATGCAATTCATGATGCATGGTGGCAAAAATATGCAGGAAAGGTTATTATATAACATGCAAACATAAATAAGTTGGGGGTCTATTTAGAAATATGTCCTTTCAGTGTTAGGTACATTATACTAGGTACTTTCCATTTCTTTGAACTTTCAATCATCTAAATAGAACAAACTAGAATAAAGATCAACCTTATTTCGGTTTTTGGAAAATACAGAAAATACATTCTTTTTGAAAACTTTGAATAGTTCTTAGTAAAACGTGTTCCAATTTAAGCAGAGAAAATAGCTGGAAAAAGAAACACCAGCCTGTGCTACAAGATCAGTATCAACAAACCCCTACCAAATAAAGGGATTTCACATATTGCTACAGTCTATGACTTTGTATTCTTTATGGAGATAACAGTCTTGGAGAGGGAGGTTGCTACAGAATGTTTTTAATGTATCCCCCAAGGTTTTAATGAGAGTGCAAGACAGCCCTTCTGATCAAGGCTGCCAATAAGATGTATTGAACAGTTTCATTTTTTCTGCACTGAAACCTCCTCACCTTCTTTTCTCTTCCATGAATGTTCCTGAATGAATAGGGTAGTTTGCTCCTCTGAAATCTTCCAAATAAGCTTGCCACAGGAGCTTGGGGGTAGGCAACATAATTCAAGCGGTAGCATAGCATAAAGTTTGGCCTTAAATAACTCCTGGATTATTTGCTGCTAAGGGGTTATTTTGCTCATGGGTGAAGGCCATAACCAGTTAACAACTAAAACACAATAAAAAAATTAAACTTATGAACGCTATTATTTTGACATACACAGGATGCAGCAAATTTTGGGCACTTGGTGCATGGAAGAGACACTGTGCACTGCAGCCAATAATTGCAGAAACGGTCACAGTTCCTTGTATAACTGTTACTTTTCACTCCTGCCCTTTTCAAGTCCCATAACATCTTCCTGGAAGAACTGGAACTGACCTGACTTGAAGACAGTTACTGAATGTGCTTGGAGCTTAAGTATCTACTTTATAGGTACTCCAAAGTAACCAAAAAAAATCTAATTAATATTTTTAACAGCACACATGCTTTCAACTTTTACTATCAGCTGGTAACTACAGAAGCTTCTGATTTAACTGCATGTGCAGCTTAAAGAAATAACACTGCAGAAGTTTAGACCATTACTGATATAATATTTCACATCTTAAAATTTGAAATAAATTTCCTCTTTCTCGGCCTGCTTACCACAATTCTCCTTTTATACATCCACAGACCATACTAGTTCCTTTTGTCCTATCAGTCCTCAATATTGAGAACAGCTATACTACATCTCCCAAATCTTTTGCAGTCTTTACTTCCAAGGTCAGTGCCCCTCTAGATGTCAGGGATTATCCAAATTCTCTTTCTTCAGAACTACAATCTTGCATTTTGCACAAGTAAAACACCTGATCTGACCAGAGCGCAACGTAACAAATGGAGTATACAATTATATGTGATTATCCTGTGTTTCTATCAATCCTTCAGTCATCCAGAAAACAGATAATCAGCAGTAACTTCATATTTTTACTGCCAGATCAGTTATGAAAATGCTTAAAAGCATCAGCCCTCCTATGGAGGTGATGCTGCCGCAATGAAGAAGATTCTCAGTTAACTACTGCTTCTCGATGTCTGACTGCCAGATCTTAATTTGCTTAGTATGTGCTCTGTTGGCACTATGCATTTGTACTTGTAATATCTGCTGCCTTACAAAATCTACCTGTTAGACTTGTGCAGCTGCCTTTAACCTCCAAACCTGTAATAATACCCTTAAAGATTGGTATGAGGTTTGTTTGACAAATCCTACCTAAAATAAAACTATATTGATTGACATTATTTTTCTATCCTTTATCAACCACTTACCTTGTTTTACTAAAGAATGATAGAAACATAGAAGATAAAATGCTTCCTTGTTTTAATATTGGCAAAGCAATAACACTTTTCTAGTCTTTGACATTTACCCTTCACAGGGTACCCTTTACACTTCACAGTTTTTTAGTAATTATCAGCAACCAGAGACCTCAGTCAATTCTGCTAAGGCTCTTAAACATTTTAAACCGCATAAAATTTGGGTATCTATTACTCCTAACTGGTATTCAATATATTTCTCAGTTATCATTGAACAGGTAAGTACTTTCATGGCCTCCTATGGCAGAAGCGCATTATCCTGATTGCTTCCAAATGCACAATAGAATTGAGTAGTAATTGCCATGGGCAGACCATCTCCCCTCTCATACTCCAGGGAGGGTCTCTACACTATGGTTACCATGGATTAACCTACCAAGGAGGCTGGACTGCACTGAATTTGAGCTTTAGTGTTTTTTAATGTACTTTGCAGCAGGTCTAAACAATACCAGTTGGCTATACTCCTTTGTACACTACACCAAGTGCCTGTTAAGAGGAGGGACTTAGAATCCAATCCTTGCCCTCGGAGGCGTTTCACATTTGCAGTGTTGTCTATGCAGACAATTAATACGAAATGACACCTTTGTTAAAATGGAAGACTTAGAGGTTTCAAGTCCGGTTCCTAGGGGGGATTGTAGTTACAGAGATTTGTGATCTGTAAACATCAGATAATAAAACTCAGAAGATTTTCTCCTGTTCAACCTTTCTGGGTTTCACAAACAGCCAGGTAAGGATCAATACTACACAGCAGAGATCATGCTGTAGTGCAAGACAAATTTTATCTTACATTAATAAAAGCAGAACTGTACGGTTATTACGTTAAGCCCTCCAGTATTAAGTGATACAGGATCCACTGCTGTTCATCCCACTAGAATGACTTGTGTAATTTCATTCAGCCTCCTCACACGTGCCTATTACAGAGTGCGTGAGGTTGTAAGGGGCTTCTGGAGATCATCCAGTCCAACCCCCCTGCTCAAGCACAGCCACAACAGCAGGTTGCTGTGCCTTGTTTTTAGATGGCTCAGTTTCAAGCGGTAGCACAAACATGAACTTGTCCCTTTCTGCTCGATGTGGAAAATCGTATCTGGCATTGATTCGTACTGTGCTAACAGTCCACCTTTTCTTGTACCTGCAAAGCTATCTTAGAAGAAGGATAGGACAAGGTGTATTTCCCACCTACTTTGGGAATGTAACTCATGCATGGCTCAGAGCACAAAGATCAAGGACTCTGAAGGTATCCCTACCTCTCCTCCTTGATAACTGAAGACTTTCAGACAAACTTCTAAGCTTAGATGCTGTGAATATCTCTAATTGATATGGTTTCTAATCTAAACTAGGCTGATTGGTACTGAATCTACTATGGACTGATTCTTGCTTATGATGTACTGCATGTTCTGAGGTGCTTAGGGACTTGCTGAGAAGTACACACAACAGTCACAAAGGCATCTATGTGCTGCCCTGCTAAAGACTGTCCAGAAGTGAGGACTTAGTGGAATTCATAGTGTGTGCCTGAACACCCATGTTCCTTGGACAGCAAGTGGGGAGAGCCCAGAGTCATCAGAATTCAGTGTCTGCAGTAATGAATGGAGAGACACCTAAGGCGGGTGTCAAAAAACCCCCCAAAAAAGAATGTTTAAGGCTAGCCTTAAATAAACCGCATGTGAGAAGGAGAGAGTGGTTCACTTTATCAGTACAGCTTCCCTACAGTAGAGAAGTTACTGCACTCAATGTAAGAGTGGGAACTGGTTTTACAATATAGTAAAGTGCTCTGGTTTTACAATATAGTATCTAATTGGAGAGATATAACTTGCATTTAATATACAGTGATTTAATATCACTTTGCATTTACATCCTCACTCACTGCACATAATTTCCTATTGCAGGCAAGCCTTCTCATAGTTGCCAGAATAGTGAAATGTGTGAGGACTTTGAAGGTGTTTGGGTTTTTTTGGCTAAATAGCCTTATAAATGCTGTTAGATACAGGAAAAAAAACAGCTTATATGGCTCCTTGAGCTATCTGGGATAGCTAATTCTGCTGTCATCACCGCTTTCCAGATTTTCATATTGGGATTACTTTAAAATTGTACTTAAATCATTGGCATCTTCATATAATTCTCAGAAAGTGATTTGGCATTTCTTAAATTCTTTTGAGAACTCTCATTTCTATACCCACAGATCAATGTTATTGCTTGAACAAGTAAACTCAATACGTGTTTAATCCTGTCCTCTTCAGTGTCTGATTTACAATGTTACTAATTGCATTTTTAGATTCTCAACACTATTGGCACCAATTTCTGCTACTCCACAAAAGGAGCCAGTTTAATAATTACTCTGTATCAACCCCATTGTTGTGAAATCAAATTCTCAAGGAACTTTATGGATAACATGCTCTGTCAAGGCGCTCTTGTTCAAATTGCTGCCAGCATGATGTCTTTCACTGTTAGTTGTTCCTTGATGGAATTCAATAAATATTCATTGGCAGAGTGCAGTGTAATTGATTCAGCCACTTTCATTTTTTATCAGCTCTGCAGGATACCACAGCCTCTGCAGAAAATCTCCAAGATTTGCCGAAGGTTGACAGTAAGAAGCTTTGGAGATTCACTTGGTTAAAAAAAAAAAGAGAGGGAAACAGTATCTGTTATCGCTATGTCTAATATTCACTGTCAGGAGAAAAAAAAAAGCTATATGGTTCTCTGGAAGAGTAACGTGCCTTATACAACACTGTAAAAATTCATAAAGTGTAATTTTAAATGAAATGCTGATATCAAGCAGGTTTATAGGTAGAGAACAATCACTGATACGCTGAAAAATGATTTCCAATAAAAATTAGGCATATTCCATGCATATTTATTTCTATTCATTATACAGAAGATTTTCCACTACCAAAAAGTAATGATTTACATTCATCATCAGTATCTACCATACAATAAAGCTAAAAACTTTTCTAAAGAGTTCAAAAGGATTAACTCCCCTTACCATATCCACAGCTATATTGTTTTATTATGTTTAGGATTACTGTAAGTGTGTGCTTAAATGAACACCCCAGTTCGGCAGTCCTGTTTGTTGAATTTGGCCTCATACATTAGTGTTTCTGAAGAAACAGTCAAGGTTGATCTTACCTCTAATACTTCATTAAAAAGTTGTCAAATTGCAATATGCAATACTATCAAAATGCAGTAGGTATTAAATGCATATCTTCAGTATAAAAGTACAGAATTTTCTGCTGTCAATAGATGCTTCATGTATGCAGCCTACTATAATCAGACTTAGCAGTTCATGGTATTGTTATTTTCCATTGCCTTTCAAATGTACTTCATTTTCAGAGTTCATACAGAGTTGGATACCAGCCCTACTGCTTGATACCCATTAGCCTGTTAGCATAACCATCATCTTGCTGAGTTTTCGTCTAGTTTTATAAGTAATCCCTCGGTGGCACAAAAAGGGGTGTCAAGTGTCAAGCTCTGCATCTACCAGAGTGGTTCTTTTGCACGTGTATAGCTTTAAAAATACATATACAGATCAAATTCTTTGCTTGCACACTGATGTTAAAAAAATAAATAAATAAAAATAAGGTAACTACACTGAGTTCAAAAGACCAGCAGAAGAGTGTTAAAATCAGTCATGCAGGCAAACTGGGGCACATAGTTAATCTGTTTTTCTTCTATACCTGTTATGTCAACTTTACATCTATCGTGAGATAATTATTGTGAAATGAAACAAAAAAAAGTTCTAACAATTTTTTTTTCTTTGTCATTCACTTACTGGAATGCCAGTGAAGGTAACTGGAGGCGACTGCCAAGAGATGCTAAAGCTACTGCCGTTAGGAGTGAATTTTGTTGACCCTGGAATGTTCACCGGAGGAGTGGCCTGTATGAAAAGAAAACATTATTCCAGTAAAAAGAACCATTCCTCTTCCAAAGCATTTCAAAGAATCTTTCACTCCTTGAAACTGTAAATCTACAGGACATGTTCAGAGGTGAAACATAACTTCACAGTGTTGGTAGTGACAACTGTCCTGAGCAGGATAATCATGGATGAGGCCATAATGAAAGAACATCTTCATATATCACTACTCTTAAATGGTTGTTTGGAGACAGACCATAGATCTCCTGAGAATCCATGCAAAACCTTTAAAAGCTAGGTCTGATAAAAAATATGAATTCAAACACTATGTATAAAAAGCTTCCTAAAAAAAATCCTGACAGTAGAAAAAAAAAATTACAAATGGTCTACTGCTCCACAATGACAAACAAGGAAGTATTTAAACTGATGGCAGCTGGTTCAAACAACTAAAGATTGGATGGAGAGGGTTTGGGGACAGTAGGTTTAATAATCAACAAGTTTTGACCAATTTACATTTATCAGATAAATATTCTTAAAAAAAAATCCTAATTAAAACAGCCTTCCCTAATGAAAACAAGGAGCTAAAAGCATCCTTGGGATACAATAGTAGCTCTTAAAAGACCAAGCTAAAGCAAGTATCTGAAAACTGTTACGGTCTTCAGAACCATTTATTTTCTTTCCATCTAGGTTGTAATATCAGGCTCAGATCATTGAGCATCTTCCATTTTATGCCTTCCTAAGCTTTCTCACTGGGCTCTGAGCCCTCTGCATTCTTTCTTTTCTTTCTCAGGACATCTTTTAGAATCCTTTTTTATTTAATGCAGTCAGGAAATTCATAACTTTGCACTTACTCTGCTTAGCAAGAGTGTGAGCAGCCACCATGAACATGGGCTTCCTTTGACTCTTGAGAGTCAAACTCTCATTACAGAAAACACTTTTTGGTTTAAATTTACAGCAAACTTGCTCCTAAAATTGAGCTTTCCGTCGGTCTTTCAGTTGTCTGTGTCTTACAATAATATGACACATTTATTTAAGAACTGCTTGTGTTTGAGGCTGCTCAAGTTGTCTCACTGCTTCACAGAACAGACTTCTTCCTTGAACAGCCACACATAGAAGGAGTGATGACAAACTACAGTCTGATAGTCCCCATTACAGATAATCTTCAGGGTAAACAGTACTGAAGCACTCCTGTGGAGTCTCTTCAAGGAAAAGAAACCAAGACCACTGAATGACTCCGTCCACTGCAGTTATGCTCTACACGCTGGTGAGCCTGCGGACAGCTCTGAGAGAATCAATACAGACACACGACCTTCTCAAGGAAGCAAATGTCTACTGAGCTCCCTAAAATACAAAAGCCTCACTGAAAGACATCCAAAAAAAAAAAAAATTGGCAACTCCAGATGGTACC